TGAAGCTCAAAAGTAAAGAATATGCTGAGCATATTACAACTTAAGTTGAAAGAACTTAAAAACAAATTCAAGCCTTGAATGCAAGACAGAAGGATCGTACAGGCAAAATCTTGAAGGATTTAGAAAGCATCAGAAGAAGATGGAAGTAATATACAGAGTCATTGTACTAAATAGAATTGGCAGACACTGTATCATTTCAGAAAATAAAATATGAGCCAGAACTAGTGGTCATGAAGGAAGAAGTCCAAGCTGCACTGAATGCATTGGCCAAAAATAAGGTACCAGAAATTGATGGAATAAATCATTTGAGAAGCTATACTACTTTAAGAAAGACATAGCATCAGGATTGGAGGGAGACTCATCAACAGCATGCTTTATACATATGGCACAACCTTGCTTACTGAATGAAAATGAGGAAGACTTCAAACACTTGCTGCAGAAGAAAAAAAAATTACAGCCTTCAATATGGATTACATCTCAACATGAAGGAAACAAAAATCCTCGCCGCTGAACCAACAGACAACATCATGCAGTGGTGTTGTGAACTATCAAGTCAAACTGACCTATGGGTGTCCCTCTGGTAGGTTTTCAGAGGCAGTAAATTGCACAGGAGGAGAATGTCTGTTTTTCTCCCACAGAACAGCTGGTAAATTCAAAGTGCTTACCCTTGGGTTGGCAGCACAATTCCTTGTTATCAGCAGTTGCATTTTACTTGGGTCCACAGTCAACACTCAGGATAACAGAAGTCACACAATCAAAAGACACATGCACTAGGGCAATCTGCTGTCAGGGACCTCTCCAAAGTGCAAAATAGTAAGGATGTCAGTTCAAAAGCTAAAGTGTGCCTAATCAACCCATGGTCTGGTCATTTACTTCATATGCATCTGAAAGTTTACAATGAAGAAGGATGACAGAAGAATTTGTATGCCTTTGTGTTATATTGGCGATAGATAGTGGATATCCTGTGGATTGACCCAAAACAAACAAGTCGATCTTGTTGTTGTTGAGTACCATAAAGTTTGAATTGACCCATAGCTAACCTTCTAATAGGTTTTCAAAGACATTAAATCACATAGAAGATTGCAAGTCTTCCTCCCACAACACAAATGGTGAATTTGAACTGCATACCTTTGCATTGGCAGCACAATTCATTACCACTAAGCCACCAGACCTTCCAAGTCTGTCTTAGTAGAAGTGTAATGAGGGTGCTTCTTGGTGGCAAGGATGATGAAACTTTTATCTCACATACTCTGGGCATGTTGTCAGGAGGGACCAGGCCTTGGAACAGACATCATCCTGGGAAAGGTGGAGGATGAAAGTAAGAGAAGAAGACCCCCGCCAAGAAGGAGTGACACAATGACTGTGACAATTGTTGTTGAGTGCCATCGAGTCAGAACCGACCCATAGCTGACCATACAGCGGGTTTTCAGAAGCAGTTACTTGCAGGACAGAAGATTGCCCATCCTTTTCACATAGAGCAGCTGGTGGATTCAAATGTGGTGCATTCAGGATTTCAGCACAGGTTCTTGCCACTAGGCCACTAGAGCTCCCTGACTGTAACAATAGGATCAAGAACATTAGGGATCATGAGAATGGTGCAGGATAGGGCACACTTCAGATCTCTTATTCACAGGATTGCTATGAGTCATAAGTTACTCAATGGGACCTAACACCAACAACCAGAAACCTAAGCTTCAGCAAGGGTTAATAAAGGCTTGACCCCAGGATTCCATGATAGAGTTTACTGATTTCCAAACTCTCAATCTTGATTGACACAAAGGAAAACCATACTCTTTGTCCCTAATACCAGCAATGAGTTTACTGATGTTCACGGGTTCCACAGGCTAATTTGTCACATAAAGTATGTCAAGTGAAACACAGAAGTGGGTTTGGGGCAAGAAGGATATGTTTAAGAGAAAGACTAGAAGAACATAGCGCTTATGAGGAAGGAATGGAGTGCTACACACAGTTGCTACAGGTGTAGTTGGGCAGCATTGTTCTGTTTCCAGCCTTCACATAAGATGTTTAACAGCAAGCATCCTAAAGGCATATGATCCTAACATGTGATATTGTTTCTGCTGAATCTGCATTTCCTGCTTCTTGAGTGAAAGAAAATTCTATGAAGGTAAAACTGCTACAAATCTTCACAAGAGGAAACTACTTCATCTTTATCCTATAGAGTGACCAGTAGATTCAGTCAGTTATCTTTCAGTTGGGAGTTCAGTATCTATGCCACTATGCCACCAGTGTTCCTTATAAAGACTGAAGTGTTAATATAAGTAACAGAAGCGTTGTAAAGTTAATCCAGGTTAAGATAGGTAATAGAGACATATAACGTTAATCCAGACTTGCACCTAGTATGTTGTTGTTGTTATTATGTACCATCAAGTCACTTGTGACTCATAGCGACCCTATTACAATAGCCCTAAACTCTGCTCTGTCATGTGCTAATTGCACTGTCTCTGACATACCCATCCCGATCACCCCAGTCTCTGAATGAATTCACCTCATGGAGGGCCTTCCTTCCTCTCCTGTGCTGTCCCTCCACCCTCCCAAGCATGATGTCCCTCTCCAAAGACCAGTCTCTTCTTACAACATGTCCAGAGTATGTCAGATGGAGCCTCAGAATCCTTGCCTCCAAGGAGCCACCTGGTTTAATCCTCTCCAGGATGAATCTGTTTGTTTTCCTAGCAGTCCATGGTACCCTCAACACTCTTCCAGAACCATAGCTCAAAGGCATCAATTTTCCTTCTATCCTCCTTGGTCATTGTCCAACTCTCTGCTACATAACAAGTGACAGCAAAGACTATGGCCTGTATCAGACACACCTTAGTCTCAAGAGAGACACCATTGCTCTTCAGTACTTTGGAGAGGTCCCTAACAGCAGACTTTCCCATGGCAATATGTCTTTGAATTTCCTGGCTACTGGTGCTGAGAGTGTTGACTGTGGAGCCAAGCAAACTAAAGCTGTGAACAATCTCAATCTCTTCACCATCCATCCTGATTCTGCCAATTGGTCCAGTAGTGAGAATCTTTGTCTTCTTGACATTGAGCCTCAACCCATATTGAAGGCTGCAGTCCTTGACCCTCTGCAGCAAGCGAATCCCAGAACACTTGATCGTGCTAATGTGAAACCTATACTTGGACCAAGAGGCAGTCGTCCGAACAGAGCAAGGAAACACTGCATGGTTCAAAATTGGGAAGGGCATACACCAGGAATGTGTCCTGTCTCCATACCTTTTCAACGTGTATGCAGAACAGATTATCTGGGAGGCTGGGCTCTATGAGGAGAAATGTGGGGTCAGGATTGGTGGAAGATCTATCAACAATCTGCGTTATGCAGATGACACAACCTTGCTTGCTGAAACTTAGAAGGACCTGAAGCACCTAGTATATGTAATAAATATGTAGCTATCAGAATTATAGGAAGCGCTGTTAGCCTAATTACAAGATCCTGTGCTGCAATCCCAAAGGCATGCAGTTCAAATCCTCCTCCTGCTTGGTGGATGAATGATTGGCAGTCTCCTCTCATGCTATTAACAGTCTCTGAAAACCTGCTGGAGTGTCAGCTATGGGTCAATTCCAACTTGTGGTACACAACAACAACAACAAAACTATTTGTTGATACTCTTCAAAAATAACTATAACATTTTCTATGAAACATTTTATTTGGCCCCCTCATTAGAATAATATCCTTAGATCCCTGTGAGAATGGAGGGATAGCACGAGAGAGGAAGACCCTGGATGAGATGGATTGACTCGGTAACTAGGATAATGGAGGTAGATGTGTCAGAGACAATAAGGTTGGCTGAGGATAGAGTAGGGTTCAGAGTTGTTGTACATTGGATCACTATGAGTTATTAGCAACTCACAGCACATAACAACAACAACAACAACCGAGATGTAATTATTTTAATATATATGTAATTTGATTTATGAGAATTTTTTCAATACTTTTGCTTCATGCCCTTTAGCTACCATTCATATTCCTTTAAAATATATGCAAAGAAAAGTTTCCTAGTTCCTTTTCTAATTCAATTCTTATACAGCTGTAAACTTAAATAAAGAGAACCACCACCTGCCCCAGTCTTGAACTTTTGGTCTTACCTGTAATTTCTGTGTATGTGATTTTTCATTTACTGATTCACATGCTTCCTGAGAGTCACCTTAACTTGTATATGATAAATAAATGTAAAATAACTCCCTAGATCAAAAATAGCCACTCATCCTTTATCCAAATGAATACTTTGCAAAAGACCAGCTCATTAAAGAACAAAACACTTAGCATTATTCCACAAAGAAGAATGACCACATCAGGTATCAAAATGGATGACTACATCATTGCTTAACTTCAAGGTTGCTTCCTTACATAATTGATGAACCACTGATAATCATGGCCCAGCCAAGCTCACAGCCTCTATCCCCATCACAGCCAAGATGACCAACACCTAGCATCTTGATGTTCTTTACTGTAAGGTATATGTCATTACTGTGCAAAGTAGTCAGATGATAGATTTCTTACTATTATTATAAAAGTAAAATGTTAGATAACAAGATAGTAAGTGAGAAGTGTTGTTGTTGTTATGTGCCATTGAGTTGCTTTTCCAACTCATAGCGACCTTATGTACAACAACCCTAAACCCTGCTCTATCCTGTACCAATCACACTACCTATGACACACCCATCCTGATTACCCTACTCACCGAATCAATCCACCTCATAGAGGGCCTTCCCCTCCTGTGCTGTCCCTCCACCCTCCCAAGCATGATGTCCTTCTCCAAGGACCTCTCCCTCCTTACAACATGTCCAAAGCTATTAAGTTGATCATAACTCACAGTGACCCTGTGAACAATAGATTGGAATCTAGCTCTATCCTGTGACATAGATGTGAGTTAACCAGGAAAAGAGAGTTTAGAACTTTTTAAGTACAATACAACAGTGTCTGATTTTCAAAATTGCAGTTAATACTTAATATTTTTTCTCTTTTTTTTTAATTTAAGGGTATTATTGCCTTTCCTATAAGTGAAGATATGATGCTATGGGAAGCTGAAATTGAAGGTCTACAGAATTCAATATGGCATGGTTTGTGGTTTCAAAACATATTTATTTTTTAAAAAGATTTTTACTATTGTTAACATTCCTTCTTTATGTATATAAGGTACATTATAAAAGTTCCCCAGAATTTTCCTATATATGTTTGCATTATATATAAACTCTCTACAGTTCTAGTATTTGTTATTTTCTTACTATATGTATATATTTTTTAATATGTCTTTGTGTATACACATGCCCTGGTAATATAGCCTTTTGAGATTTGTACTGTTAACCAAAAGACCATAGTTTTTGGTGGTTCAACTCTGCCAGCCACTCTGCTAGAGAAAGATGGGCAGTCTCCTCCTGAGAAATTGGCCATCTTGGAAACCCACTGGAAGGTCAGCTAGGAGTTTTGACCTGTCTCTACAGCAGTTGAGAGATAGAGAGTGTATATAGGAATTTGCCGTTGGAAATATTCCTATATGCTATATCTTAATGTTATCATACTTTTAATAAATAAACATAATAAATACGACTTCTAATGATCTACTAAGAAATCAGAGAAATCCCGTTAAAATAATCTATTAATTTGAAACTCTGTCTCCTCTTTTTAAAGTGACCCCCTCCTTCAAATTTCAGTAACTCAAATTTTCAAGTATACTGGGCCACTACATACTTTGAATCATGGATTAACAAAAATAGATTCTTTTTTTTTTTTTTTCAATTTGCAGCCACTGTACATGTTCTCAGCCCATGGGTAATAGGGCTAGGCAGTGGTTTGTGGCTGACGTTTACTCTGACATGGGTACACTATGAAAGATCCACCAAAGGGCCTGCCATAAATCCACTACCAGGCTCAAAAATAGATTCCTTAAGTGAGATAGGGCAGAAACTTGTAAGCTGATATTTACAATAAAATATAACACATTCTATTACAGAGTATGGACAGAATGTTTTAAAAGAAAGAGATTTAAAAAAAAAAGAAAGAGATTATTTAATTTGTCTTTTTCAAATGTGTAGACTCAGGAATGACTTTTCAGATTCATTTGAGTTACATCCTGAAGAATGATTAAGAGGTTACCAGGTTCCAAAGGAGGAAATGAAAATTCAGGCAGAGTAAACAGTATGGCAAAAGGTTTGCAGGCAAGAAAGGTGCAGAAGGTTCTGAAAATGGTGAATTCAGTCAATATGAGATACACAATGATGCTGTGTCAGATGAGTATCAGTGGGTAGCAAAGAAGAAAACAGACATAGAGTAGGGAGTAGAAGGGACTGGTGGGAACAAGCTAGAAATTTAGTGGGATTTGTTTGTGAAGATCTGTTATGATATTGAGGGTAGTCTATGTATCCTTTTAAAAAGCCAACAAAGTTCTTTAAATAGGAAATAATATGATTCCATTAAAAATGAAACTATCGACAGTGGGGAGGGAGGCTGTCAGGAGAAACTATAGAGTTTATTAAGTACATATTATTAAGTAAAAATGTTTATTTCTGTATCATAGGACAATTCTTTCAACTGTCAATACAATTTACATCAAAATACAATTTGGTCCCTCCAGATGTGAAATTTAAAACAATTCCTTTTCATCCAAATGGTAAGGTTCAATTGGAAATTTTATCATCACTGTCTTTGCCCCTGTTATTCTTGCTCTTTATTAGTGTTTAATAGTCACATTTCTTTCTTTTTTGAAGTTTCATTATGATTATAAAAGTAAGCTTGTGCAATGTGGAAAATAAGAAAAGGCAGAAAACATTAACAATCATCAGGTCTTTTTCTAAACAGTCTTCAAAAGGTCATTTAAAAAGTCATTTTCAAAAGCTCATTTTTAATTACTGAATGATAAATGTAACCATTTTCCTGCTTCTTAATATTTAGATTTAATCCAATTTTTATTATTTTAAAAATGATTGGTTTAACAAATCAGTCTTTTAGGTAAAAAGTTAAATTTCTATGTCTAGTTGTGTTGTTGTTGTTATGTGCCATCAAGTCGCTTGCGACTCATAGCAACCCTGTGTACAACAGCCCTAAACTCTGCTCTGTCCTGTGCCAATCGCACTGTCTCTGACACTCCCATCCCGATTATCCCAGTCACTGAATCAGTCCACCTCATAGAGGGCCTTCCCCTCCTGCCCTGTCCCTCCACCCTCCCAAGCATGATGTCCTTCTCCAAGGACTGGTCCCTCCTCACAACATGTCCAAAGTATGTTAGAAGGAGCCTCAGAATCCTTGCCTCCAAGGAGCCACCTGGTTTAACCCTTTCCAGGATGAATCTGTTTTCCTAGCAGTCCATGGTATTCTCAATTCTCTTCTCCAGCACCACAGCGCAAAGGCATAGATTCTCCTTCTATCCTCCTTGGTCATTGTCCAACTCTCTGATGCATAACAAGTGATTGTGAAGACCATGGCCTGTATCAAATGTACCTTAATCTCCAGAGAGAAACAATCTAAAAATTTTAAGTCCTTTTAAAAAAGATGAAAACCTGACAGGCTTTCTTGCGGGTTTATGAGAAAGGCTTAAGTATTGTAAAACCCAGAGAAGCATGACACACTATACTACATAAACACTTATTTTGTATTTTTAAAATAGAGATAATGTAATATTTTCCAATTCAGAGTTTTTTCACTTAAATAATCCAGGGTGATCAATTACATCAATCAACATCAATATCCTTAGTCAAAAATTTTCCATCTCCATCAACAAAAACTCAGTGTTTCTTCTTAGACAGTAATTCCTCTCTACCAAGTACATTATTACTTTTGTAATGTAAATGTTTTTTAAAGGTTAAATTATATTTATAGCAAAAATATTGTCTGTGTATGTTACTACTGCTTAGAATTAATATTTCAGAGTAAAATTACTAGATTAATTATGGTAGGATGAATACCTACCCTTCTCCCATCCCCTCCCATTTCCATTAAGAGAAGAAACTTCCCCTCTTTAAGCCTAATCTGTAGCCATAGAACCAACTTGGTGACATTATAAGACATAGCAGAACTATTCCATAGTGTTTCCAAGGGCAGAGTAGAACTGCCTCAGAGGGTTGCTTCAAGGAAGCAGCAGATTGGCCCATCTTTACTGCTCAGAGTGACTGGTAGGTTTGAACTGCCAACCTTCCACTAGTTAAATACGTGATACACCTTAATGTCTCCTTGAAAAGGGAACATGTTGGGAACACTGGCAATTACTCTTTTCTCTCTCACACACTCCTCCCTGAGGAGAAGTGACTCATAGGAGCAAGTAGATAGAGAGAGAATTGATCACGAAATTCAGCACATTCCCAGCTCTCTTTAATCCACCTGACGTAACAACAGGTTTAATCTTTGTGTTTTGGTTGGAAATTTAGGAATCAGGTCTGCAACTTGGGAATTAAGTTCAATTCAGGGTAACTTTTATGGAACCTAATTGAAATGCAGTTTCCCTACTCATGTAACATAGACAGTAAAACTGATACTTTTACTTCAAATTTGGTCTATTAAATGGTATATAAATTTTTGTTGTTGTTATGTGCCGTCGAGCCACTTGCAACTCATAGTGACCCTATCTACAACAGCCATGAAACCTGCTCTATCCTGTGCTAACTTTACTGTCTCTGACACACCTCTTTCTTTCACTTTTGAAAGAGAAGAGCGAACTGGGG